TTGAAACATTATTATGGGGGATTTGAGAAGAGGATATACAACCAAGCAACTCCATTCTTTTTCACAAATTTCCTGGAAGACTAGTTCTTTGAACAGATGTGGATGGTAGCATCGGGGAAGAGTTTCATGTGCTCTGGAATAGTTGAAGGGAAGAAACAAGAGGGAGCAACGAAAGGTTTGATTTGGTTATGCGTTTGGGTGTTTTTTGAGTCTCCTATATTTTGTGTTTTACTTTAATTTTTTTAATAAAAATGAAGGTAAAAAGAAATTAAAATAAGTATGACAATTCTACTGTATTTTTATCCATTGTTGATCATCTTAAGCACTCGGTGCCGTAATTTTTTATTAATTCAATCTACAAATTGTGATGAAATCAAGGTTTAAGTGATAAAAATTGGATGAGTAAGGTAATTAATTACCTCCGTATTTTCTATATTTTTCTTTAATTTTTTCGATCTCTATTATCCCTAAAAAAATTAGATTTTATAAATATAATGATTTTAGAAAATATAGCAACTTCATGCGACTATGACGTTGACGCAAGTTATTACATCATATTATTATTATTTTTTAAATTTTACTTCTTTTTAAAATTAGTAGTTATCAATTAGATTTATAATATTTAGTGTTTAGAAGAGTACATCGCCGGAAGAGTGATGAGAGAGAGAGGCAGAGCGAGAGCGAGAGAAGGCGACCACCGAACACGAGCTAGGAAGACAGCACAGAGTGAAAAGAATGTCAGTTCTCCGCAGAGATACCAACAGAGAAGGAGGGTACCAGACCAGCTAAGGGAGAAGCAGTACGAGCAGAATCAGGCGGTTGAAAGGAGGCTAGGGGATTCCTATGACTGGGGCTTGTACAAACAAGCGACCCCTTACTTTTTCACAAACTTCCCGAAAGAATGGACGTACGAAGACATGTGGAGAACGTTTCTGAAATTTGGGAGGGTATATGCCATTTACAGTCCAAAGAGAAGAAGCAGAAATGGTGGCAGGTTTGGTTTTGTCAGATTTCTTGATGTGAAGAATAGAGAAGAGCTTGAAAGAAAACTAGATAATATCTGGATCGGTGATTGCAAACTATGGGTAAACTCTCCAAGATATGAAGACAACCAGCAAGAAGGGAGGGAAACAAAACCTAGACTCATCTCGGAGCCACAAGTACGAAACAGGAGCTACGCAGAGGTTCTGAAAGGGCAACAATCGAACAGGAGGGTATGGCAAGAGAAAGGAAAGATTGATTCCTGGGCCGGGTTTGAATACAACACTAATCAATAAGACACCGCATGGCTGGAGGGCTGTTATGTGGGCACAACTCACTTGGTTGAAATGGTTAGAAATCTGCAGGAAAAATTCTACATGGAAGGGTATTTCTCCTGTCGAATCCGAGTGATGGGGGGAAGATTGGTTCTAATGGACTACGAGGATAAGGAAGAGCTGAAAGACCTGGTTGAATCAACATCAGAATGGCTGGGCCAATGGTTCGAGAAGGTGTGCCCTTGGACCCCAAATCTGGTAGCGGAAGAAAGATTCGTTTGGATCAGAGGTCAAGGTGTTCCGTTAAACATCTAGGGGCCAAAATTCTTTGCTTCGATGGGGTGTTCATGGGGCAAGTTCATCTGTCTAGATGACAGCACAAGTCACAGGAGGAGGTTTGACATAGCTAGATTTTTAATCTCGACCCCAATTATGAACACCATTTCAGTGACGAGACAAATCAAAATCGACGGGTCCGTATATAAGCTCAAGTTCACAGAGGAGGAATTTACCAATAGTTTCTTTTCTTTGAAACAGGACTTTATCCCCCATTTTAATAGCGACTCAAAGGAACAAGAAACATGGTCTATGGACAGTGAGAAGGAGGATTGTGCCAGTAAAGGTGCAGGGGAGGAAGAACAGGGGAAGGACGTCTCAGCCGAGAATGAGGATGATGACGATGACGATGACGTGGCATGCAACAAAGGGGAGCCGTACGAAGTGTTCCTTAGAAACGGTCTGTAGGAGGAGGAAGAGACAGTTGAGAATGTGGCGGACAGCTTGGAGCAGATTCAAATTTTGAACAAAGATAAAATAAGTTTAAGTGAAGAGAAAGGGAAGCAGCAGGCATGAAGTAGAGACAAGGTAAGGCAGTCAGTTAAAGCTGGAAAAAAGAGGCTGGGCTTACAAAAGGGATCTAAGATGGGCCTTACTGGGAAATCCATCTCTCAAAAAGATAGGCCATGCTATGTGGACTCCTTAAGTGTGGGGCTGGGTATTAATGAAGGGTTTTCAAAGTCAAAATCAGAGAAAGTAAAGGAACATTCAGGAGAAAGGAACGCTGCACTATCTTGCAGCGAAGAAGAACAGCAGCATGAAGAACAAGGGGATCCCAACGGGCAGGACTGCGCAAGTGCAAACGAACAGATGCAGATCTGCATGCAAAGAAGCAAGGAGGGTGTCTTACAAAGGAAGAAGAAGATTCGCCTATGCAGCTCGGTCTACCTCAAGGCGAGAAAAATAGGGGAAGGAATTCATAGTGGGAAAAGGTGTGAAAGGCAAAAGATGAAACCAGTGAAGGGAACGGGGGTGCTGGAATTCATTGTGAGTCCAGATGGAAAGGTTGCGGGTGAATCAGTTGGCAATAGCGGGATTCAAAATTGCAACCGAGCTCTGAGGAAGCAGTTGCAAAATCAGCTGGCAAAAGACATATGGGATCTAGCAAAAAGATTGGGCGTCACAGTAGAAAATGAAAAGGAGATTCTGCAGAAATTTGAAGAAATGGAGGGTAAATATAGACAAGGCAAAGAAGATATGGTGAAGAGAGTGGCAGATGACGCTAAGAAGGTAAGCAGAGATTCTAATGATCATACTATCTTTTAATATCAGAGGGTTAGGAGGGATGGGGAAAAAAAGGAAAATAAGAGAACTAGTAAAAAAAGAGGGAGTAGAATTCTTAGCTATTCAGGAGTCAAAAATGGAGGCGATTGATAGAAGAACTTGTAGAAGGTTATGGGGGTCTGACGATTTTGACTGGATTTATAAACCATCAGAAGGCTTGTCTGGAGGATTGCTGTGTATTTGGAATTTTAATGTGTTTAAAAAGACAGAGGTGATTGAGGGGCAACACTTCACG